ATCCGGAATGGTCCTTTGAGAAACCGCTTCATTTCATTGGTCATTCCGTGGCGAGTATATTCTCTCCTGTCACATCCCACATGTTACTTATAATTCGTTTCCACCAGGGTGGACCAACCATAACCAAACTGCAATGGTTGCTGGATATTGGATTCTTCGGGAGGTCGGAGACCCCAAACATGGTGCTATCCTTGGCGGCAAGTTAGTGTTTCGCTCCGATTTCAGGTATGAGCGTACTCATAACGGGGATCGCCAGTATCATCGCCATTTCGTGGCACACAGGTGGTATATACGCTCGGGGAACGCACGGATCAAGCTCCCCGTGTTCGTCCCTTCTCGATAGGATCACTACTTACGAAAGGCGTTCATATCGCGTCATATCTGTCGCCATATATGCCAACATTCCTCGACATGCACGCCGATGCTCGCTCGATGTCCTACATGACAACATCCTTCCGAAAATTTGTGATGTCATTGCGGCAAAGCGATTGGGGTGAAAGTCGAGACGCAGCTCCCTTTGATGTGACCTTCGAAGCTGCAGACTTGCGCGAAGCCAATTTTGAGGGTTTGCCTCATCCGCAAACATATTACAGGAGTTATGCTGCGCAGATGGTGCGGAGTTATCATTCCACTTTCTGTATGTATTCTGACTAGCTGCGAAGACGAATGCAGATACCGCTATTCATGGACACCATAAACCTTCCATTCGTTACGCACTACTCAACCTCCCCTTGTTTGCACTCTCTTCCATCATGGGCTCGTACAACTTTTCCGCCATTAAACCGTCTCCGTCCGTTGTCGCCTGCCACAACTCCTACAACGACTTCTATCGGTCACGGTGGCATGACTGCGGTGACCAGGCCATACGAGCCAACGACGGCATTGTCCCGATATTTTCTCAGTGGCATCCATTTAATTGCTCGTAAGTTAAAGGTTTGTTGGTATATGGCATTTCGATAATGATAGTTGTTCAGGGAAACAACATGCCGCCATTGGTCTCGGCCTCTCGTGGATCCTCGCGATTTCAGCACCCTTCCGAATCCAGCTCCTGGGCTCTGGGATGTGTTTGAGATTCCAGACGCCACTCACATCTCTCTCGTACCATTCTGGTTTGGGACCACACGCCAACACGCCTTCTGGGAGTCTGTCGGTCGATGGCTTCGGGCGATAGACAGGCGAATGGAGGCGGGCGGGATGTCTGTCGCGTGACCGGCGTGGCTCGCATCGCGAATTATAACCATATCAACGCAGAGTCATCCAGCTGTCTGTAAGTTGAGCTCTTGATCGTATCACTTAGTATATGCATTTCATTTCTCACCGAGTCCCAGATTCTGGAGGTGTTGTGCAGTGTGTGATGCGTCGACGTCGTGAGGTGACAGGCCCGCGGGAAGGAATATGCCCTCTGGTAGCCGTGAATATGGTAATAATAAGTAATACGCTATGTGCTTCATCGTCCCAGGTACGGCAGCTAGCTGGTTGGTCACTGCAGTCCCCGCGAGCCGTGCGGATTGCTGCGATATTGTTCGCTTGCAGACCGAAACCATTGATTGCCGCCGGCGCCCAATGAGCGCACTACAAATATGTGCGACCCGTCGCAACATCCGCCTAACTTATTCCTATGTCTACTGACAATCTCGAGGTCTATGTGATAGTGGACGACCAGAGTCCCCAAGTCACGTATAATGGCGAATGGTTCAGGAACGACACCGATGGCGCTTGGAACTCGACTCTGAGCGGAACCGAGACGGCAAAGTCTAGCGCTACTCTGCAATTTAATGGTGCGTAGTACAGCTGCCTTACATTTCCACATTGTATTCACTAACCGGTGGGATAGGGAACAGAGTTGCCGTGTATGGCGCCGTTCTATTTACAAAAGAGCAAGGGCCCCCACAATCTGTCTACGCACTCGACGACGGGACGCCGTCCTTGTGGATCCCTCCAGTGAACGCGAATAATACCTTCGATACCTTCTTTACATCTCCACTGCTGGCGGATGGAGACCATACACTCACAATTGAGCTGCTATCCAATGGCACACCCTTCTACCTCGACTACTTCTTGTTCAACGTCTCCGAGGCGACCATGACGTCTATGACTGCTGCTCCAGCGTCGATACGACCGACCATCATAACAACCATTATCCAAGCTCCTACAAACGTTGCAGACGCTTCACAAGGCGACGGATCATCTGTATCAGTGGGGCCTATCGTCGGCGGTGTTGTCGGCGGTGTGGCTCTGCTTATTGCTGCGTTTCTGGCGGTCTACTTCTGCTGGAAGCCTACACGTAGTAGGGCCTCATATCAATATCAAGCAACCTCCGCAGATGCTAGGGATACTTCAGGTGTGTAGATTCTCACTCCATGCGAATGTCTTGAGCTGAACGAGTGATGCAATCTAGATACAGAACCACTATTCCTGGGCTCTGGTGCGGCACCATCAGCCCGTAAATCGAATATGTCCGCGGTGTCTACGATAACGCCGTATCCCCCAACACCGCGTTCCGCCCGTTCTGCTTCATTATACTCCGTTCCGTCAGCGGCGTTGCGGTCCCCGAGCATATCTGTGTTGTCGCCGCCGCCGGATCTACACGGCACTATGGGCGGTCTGAGCGAACATTCCTCCTTCACAGAGTCATCACGCGCGAGCTCGGCAGTTGCGGGCCCCTCAGCGCTTGCGCTGGCGAGCACAGCGCCGCTCCGCATGACGCCCCGGCAGCGCAAGGCAGCAGAGGCAGGAATACACACACCACCTGCCGCGCCTGTACGCCAGCATAATGACTCGGGCTACCGCTTTGACACCGCGGGACCCTCGAGCTCTCAACCCTTGCCACACTCAGATCATTCGGAAGAGCCTCCACCAGCGTATTCAGAGTCGTGATCATCGCACGGCAGGTGTCTCAACAGTCACTGACACGCTGTTCTGTTATTTATCCTTGGCTTGTATCGTTACTTTCGTCATGCACCATCTACGTACCACACGTCATCTGTTGGGCACAATACCTCACGATGCCATCTCCACTATTTACGGGGTATAGGATATAGATTTGCATTTCATGTTCATATGATGCAGACGAATTACGTGCATGACGAAGGGCGAAGATGAAGGGCGCAAAGCAGACGGTAAAGCTATGCATAGGTAGCGAAGCGACAGCTACGGCCGAAAGTGCTGCGACGCGAAATCGAAGTGATAAGGGTATAGTAGATGCGAAGATGGTAATGGTATTAGAGAAGAATCTGCAAGATTTGGTATAGGAGGAATAGATGTTGTTTCTATGATGCAGGACTCAATGCGAAGATGGTCGAGCTCTTCAATGTGCAATGTGTACAAATGCGAAGTGGGAAAAGCGGTAGTTTGTTGAAAGCGTTCGGTAACAGTTGGTATTAAGGTATTCACAGTTCGGCTTGGGGTCGTGCAAGAAATGTCGTAAGCTCGTGAAGATCATAAGGCATAGTGACGCTGGACGGAAGGCGCATAGAGGCGACGGAACTTTAAGCCGACGCACTTCGAAGCACCGAGCGGGTCCGGTCGAAAGTTGCTATGGCTTTTTACCGGTGAACCACGAGAGACCTACGCTCCCGACACCGTTGATGTGCACCCTAGCATGCAAGCGACAAACCTGTGCGAACACCCTGTCAACAAACCGGGACACGACATGAGCAGCAACAAGGACATACCGTGTCAGCAACTTCGGATCGCCGGAAGTCTACATGTAAATCCCCGTTAGGCATACGGGTGATCTGGTTCAGTTCTCCAAACGACTAGAAGATGGGCGATGAATAAGAGGAACAGAAGCAGGTATATATGACCTACTTCACACCACATCCGGACGTGTTCGTATCGACGCTGGTCGCCAGGTTGAATGCCACTGATTACTAGCTTACGTTTTCTTCTCCGCTTTTGAGAAGAAAGGATGGCAGGTGCGGAGGATCCTGCAGAACCGCGTAGTGGGAGTGGTATCCTGACGGATCCTGATATCTGACGTTCGCGGGCGATAGTCTTAGTAGACTCTGGTGGATCATCCATGTGCGAGGCGTCCGTGGGCAAGGACCAAAGCGAAGGCGCTGGGTTGAAGATCATTGAGGGTGTACGCACGCGTTTACTTGGCCCAGACTGCGAGGTGGTCGCACTCTCGAGCGAAGTCCTGGTCTGGGCTGTTTCAGAGGAGCGGCTTAATGAAGATGAGGTGCTAAGTCGGGTATGAGAGAGGTCTTCCGCCATGCCGTCTGAGCCAGAATGGAAATGGCTTATGATGCCTGCAGGCCTGAACCTCCATGTCGAAGCGGATGGCGATGATGAAAGCTCTGAAACTTCGGACGTAGTATCACCCCTAGATCGCTGTGAGAATAGGGTAGTCGTGAAGCTAGGGGTGCGCGTATGTGACGCAGAACGCTGGAAGATAGAGGAGCGATTCGGGCTTGGTTCGCGCACGGTGACGGAGGTTGAAGTCGAGATCCGGCGATTTTGAGCGAGGTTCCGTGCAAAGTTTCGCAGGGGCTCTGGCGTGTTAAAGACGACAGTTCCCTGACGGTTCTTGCGTGGAGGAGGAGGCGAGGTTGAAAGGTCGACCACCGGCTGCATACGCTGCAGCGTGATTGCTGAGCAAGGCAGAACGCGTGACGGTCACAACATAACACATACCGGCGCGTTGTCAGATCGAAGCTGGTCGTCCCCCTCGAAGCCGTTGTCATGCATCACAGCATCCTCACCATCGAGCGAAGGGTGTTGCACAGTGACTTGCGGGGCTGCTTGCCACTCGTCGCGTTCTGAGGCGGCTTCGGAAATATCGCAGACGGTAACAGCGTCTAATGCGCTTTCCGCAGGTTCGCCGGCCGAATGGCGCTTCTGCTGGTCCTGCACCCAACGCTGGATACGGCTCGAACTACGACGGAGAGGACGAAAGGTGAAGCGCGGCGTGGCTATGGGGAGGCTGTCGGACGGCATGGTCGTTGCTGAGGAGGCTTGGGAGGCGTCTTAAGTTTGGATTGGATGAGCTACAAGGTTCCGTGCCATCAATTGGATGCATGCCGCTTACCTTCAGCTGTGGTGCTACGGCCTGTGACGCTAGGGTCACTAGACTTGAGTGGAGCGAGGGTTGTCGGATGTGATAGCGACGCAGCCATCCTGTGTATAGAGATGGGCCCGGGGGCCTGAGAGGCGGGTCGTGAAGGGTCGTTTCGGTCGTGCAAAGTCTTATTAGAGGAACTCTGGCAATTCAAGAGGCGGATATCATCTGCGGCAGTGACGGACAGCGGGGAAAACGGGAATTAGAAAGGAGGAACGGTATAAAACCTAGTCAAGGGGAGATTACGGTGAGAGGATGTTTTCAGAGGAGGAGAAGAAAAGAAAATATGATCCAGGTCGACGTTTCCCGGATATCCCCCGCCGGGAAACGTGTTGCGCTATGCCCGAATCAATAGATAATCCTGGCTACAACACACATTCCCACACCGCCATGTCCAATCACAGCCCGCCCTGCCCTCACAAGTATCCGTATGGTAGGTCGTCGCGCTTTGCCGACGTACAAAACACGACAGAAGTCACCGCCTCATGCCAGCCTTTCCAGTGCGCGGTCCTCCCATGACAGCCTCGTGCTCCTTGGCTACCCGTGCAGCAACAGATTCCATCGTTGTTCTCGTCATGACCCTGGGCATGACGCGCAAATTAACGCCTTCCATCCCTTCCATCTTATCGAACCTCCTCGGCCAGAGGAACGACGGGTGCTATTCATTTCAGACACCTCCGGAGCGCGCAAGATATCCAGAGAGTCAGATATCGACCGCTTTCCGTACCATACGACGGTCCCAGCGGGCAGGCAAGGTGCTGACCCACTATGTCCCGCAATCACACCAAAGACGGCCTAGAAAGCTGACTTGTTATAATACACGCGTGATTGCATATATAGGAATGAGGGTATACGTAACGCTACAATTGACCTAGGATGCAGGATAAGATCGGGCTATGCCAGCACAGCACGGTTAATGCTGCATACCTCTGTGTAGTATCTTGGCTGACAAGACTAGTCAGGGCTATGTCTCCTTGTCGCTCAGCGTCCGTACAATCTCCTCCGCAATCTTAGCAAACAGGGGCGCTGTTGACGTCTGCTGGTACTGCCGTAGCAATTCGAACGACTCGGTCTCGGTAGCACCATCCGATTCAGCCGCAGTCACAATCTCCGCGGCATCGAGGAGCGTCACCAGATCCGAGTCGACCGGGAGGCTACCGAGAAACTTGAGCCCTTCTCGCCGCGCCATCTCCTGCCCCCCGCCCGTGGAAAAGATGTTGCTGATCTCCCCACAGCACGGACAGACGTACCCACTCATATTCTCGATCAGGCCGAGAACTGGGAGCGAGACCGCGCGAGTGAAGGAGAGGCATTTCATGGCGTCAAGCAGCGCAACCGCCTGGGGTGTCGTCACAATGACTGCGGACAGGTGCGAGGCCACAGGGGCCATATGTTCCATTAACGAAATGTGCTCGTCCGAGGTGCCTAATGAGTTCTTAAGTCAGGGCAGATCTGGCGTATAAGAGAGCAGAGCGTGCGCACCTGGAGGTGTATCTATGACCAGGTAATCCAGCTCTCCCCAACGCACGTCGCTCAGAAACTGCCTGATCATGGCATTCTTCTTGGGCCCTCGCCAGACGACCGAGTCTTCTTTCTTCTTGAGCAAGAAGCCAACGCTCATGCATGCGAGGCGTGCCTCAGACCCATCGGCGTACACAGGGACCCACCCATCGCTACTCTGGTGCACGGGATGTCCATCCAAGCCCAGCATGCGCGGTATCGAAGGCCCAGTTAAATCCACGTCCAGGATGCCAATCTTAGCGGTTGGCGAAGAGCTTCGGAGGGAGAGAGCAAGTTGTGCTGAAATAGAGGATTTGCCGACTCCGCCCTTCCCAGAGCAGACAATGATGATGTGCTTGACATGCTGCAGGCGGCGTGCAACAGGTGTATCTGCCGTGGAGGCCATCATGAATGAGATTGAGCTACAAAGCGCACAGAACCTCGACAGAAGATGACAAACCTATATGGGTGTCCATTTGGTATTGCTTACGATGGCGCAAAGCGCGTTCCAGCCTTCACCCTGGGGTTAGGTCTTATTGTCACGCAGTATCCGTGTCACGCCACAATGACTTGTGAGAGCAATTATTGTATCGGGTACCGACTTTGTCGCACCCACACAAAGAAGAGAGCGGTGCTACGAGCGTACTGTCTAAAAAGCCACAAATCGCAGAGGCACATGGACCTAACGCGGATCCCATTGTGATTCTCGACAAGTTTCGAGCTTCCGAGTCAGCACAAGAAAGGATCGATTCAGCCGCGGCGCAGACCGTCATGCATTCATGATCGAACACGATGCACAACCAGGATCCTTATTCGAGCTCTCATGCATATGGCAGATATTCAATGCATAGACCTCATATCTTGAACAGCTCCGGCTTCAAGTTCCTATATATGTAAGCGGTTAGCTATGAGGAAATCGAAAAATCGTAGGGGTGACGCACATCTTACAGAGCCTCGCCATGAGCCCTCCGAGCTGAATGAGAGTGCTGACGCCCTCCAGGATGCGCATATGCGTGAAGCCGATCTCCTATGCAAGAAGATCAGATGTCAATTGGGGTCCATCTCCGGAATGGAAGCACGGACCTTGATATATTCAAGTTTCGTGTATTCTGGTATCCTAGATACGTCGTCAATGCATAAAGTATCTGCTGACGAACGGAGACGTACTCGTCGAACGTCTTCACGACGCGGAAAATCGTGACCACAATGTCCACGGCACTATAGCCATGATTCCAGAGTTCGTTAAGCTTCTCCATCGCATTTTCAACGTCTCCCTTCAAACACGACCGAATCATGGCTTGTACCACCACAGGGTGTGGCTGGTCGCAGACCTTGAAAACGTTGTCGGCTGACACGAAACCAAAGCCAGAGAATGTGGATTGCAGATTGTTGATAGCTTGTCGCATGTCACCTTCTGCAGTGAAGATGAGGGCTGTTAAGCCGTCATCGTTGTACTTCACCTGACGATTACAGGTGTGAGCTTCAAATAATCTTTCTGCAGGATAAACAAACGTACACCTTCCATCTCGCATATCTCAAGCAGCCGCCTCAGAACCTCTGCGTCTCTCAGTTTCGCATACCTCAATATGGCACAGCGACTCTGTATAGGTTCGATGATCTTGTTCGACATGTTGCATGCCAGAGCGAACCGCGTCGTATTCGCAAAGATCTCCATTGTTCTTCTTAGTGCCTGTTGAGCACCTGGAGTCATGCTATCCGCTTCGTCGAGGATGACTATCTTGTGACGGCCTGGTGGAAGCGTTACTTTCTTCTGTGCGAACGCCTTGACCTTGTTGCGGACCACGTCAATACCTCTGAAAGTGAGAGTAAGACACCTCAGAAGATAGGACATTTGGACTCAACGCACCGTTCATCTGAAGCATTTAACTCGAGGACTCCCTCCTTGTAGGCATCTCCCAGGAGCTGGTGAGCCAAGCAATGTATGCTCGTGGTTTTGCCAATGCCAGGTAGGCCCTACGCGTAAACACGTTGGTTGATCCTCATACAAACACAAGAGAGGGTTGCGCACTGAGAGAATAATATGCGGGCAATTCCCATCCCTCGCGACGACCTTCAGGCGTTCAATTGTCTCTGAGTTGCCGACAACGTCGTCCAGCGTTTTTGGTCTGTACTTCTCGACCCTGCGTGTGTGTCAGCAAAATTAAAATTTTCGGAACGTAGGACATGCATACCATGGGAGCTCGTACGGAAGGCTCGCTGCTGTTCCGTTAGCAGGAGCCTTTCCCTTGTCTGTGGACATCGTGGTCGATGTCTAACATCGAATGTGCGCGTCTAATGTTTAACGCGACGCGACGCGCGCCAGGCGCATATTCAATACCACGCTCGACTTGCGCTCATCGACCATCGTACGAAAACACTATATGTTAAAGATAAAGCATACAGAATACACCAGATATATGTATGGTATAAATCAGACTTTCATTGATATCTTACATTCCGGCTCTCTTCGATTGTCAGCAGAGCAATCCAGATGCATGCGGAACCCAAGCGGGCTAGCCGTCGACAGGGTCTGCGAATGGATCCTCGTCATCTAGTGGGCCTTGGTGGGTGTCATAGCGCACATCGACATCGTCGCTCGACGAGTTAGCATCGTAACCCCGAGAAGCCGAGGTCGAGGCGCGATGATGCGTTCCTTCGTCCGACGACTCGTAGTCGCTGAAGTCAGAAAGCGAGCCGCGGCGGTAAGAGTGGTCGTCGTCCTGATCGCGCTTGCTTGTAGGGCGAAGAGGTGGCGGAAGACTGCTACTGCTTAGAGATAAGCGCGATACTGGTGATACAGGTGGAAACAAACATACTTCTTCTCAGCACCAAGAGCTCCGAAGCTCAGATCTTGTAGGTCAGGGTGTACGTTGCGGCCGCGAGAGTAAGGGTCGTTGTCATCTGCCTTTCCTTTGCCACTCTGGCTGTACGTGCGACGAATTGAACGCTGGACCGCAGCTCGTTGCTTTTCTTGAAGCTTCTCGAGCTCTGAGTCTTGGATCTTCACGGCAGCCAGGTTATTCTGTACGTCTGTAACGTCCTTCTCAGATACTGTTGGTTTCGATAGCTAGGGGAAACGTCAGGGGCGCAAAGTTAGAGTCACGGTGGGCTCACAGTATCATAGGTCTCGAGCGCAGCGATGATACGGTCGTTTGTCTCGATGAGGGTACCGATCATATCTTCATTTTCCACAAGCTGATAATTTTGAATGAAAAATATATTGGAGATATGCCAGGATAGAACGCACCTGAACGTAGCGCACGATCTCTTTCCGAGCAAGCTTAGCCTTCTCCAGGCACTCTTGGACACGTTCATTTGTCGTCAAACTATCATGCTCGGTGTTGACAAGCTGTAGGACGAGCATTAAGACTTATCTTAAAACGGCTGCTGGCCCAAATCTTACCGTAATCGCATTAACGAGGTTATTGGCAGCGGTACTAGCGTTGGCGATGGCGGTCATGATTTGAGCCTTCTCCTGTGGTTCTTATGTTAGCAAAGGAACGAACTAGCTTAAAAAATGGATGTACCTCTTCAAAGTTAAACGGCTTTCTCTTGCCCTTTCCTTCTTTGCCCTGCTTTACTCGTCGCCGCTGCTCTTCCTCGATTTTCTTCAGACGTAATTTATCCGCCTCCCTCTGCTCTTTTGCCTTACGCTTAGCTTCCTTCCGTTCCTCCTCTTTGACCCGCCTTGCTTCGTGTGGATCAGGGAGTTCACTTCGCTCGAACGTGAAGTTGTTGTCTTCCAGAGAGGGCTTTACTGGCGGTGCGCGAGGAGCAGGACGAGCAGGCCTAACTTGACTGAAGAGATTCGCAACGAGCGACATCGAGGGGTCGTCTTTGAACTCGGCATTCCACGATGCAAGCACAGCAAGGAGCTTCTTCTTGACTTTGGGATCGGTGCCTGGATCGCTGCCAAGCATCTTTATGGCATCGGTAAGCTGACTGTCTGCGAACGACGCTGCGAAGAGGTTTTAAGACAGTGGACGAAGCTTCGTGGCCTAGCAATACGGACTTTGAAATTTGTGCCCCCCGTTCTCAACGAGGGCTTTGAGGATCTAAGGCGACGAGATATCAGAGAAGACAGTAGGCGATGTGGCGAAAGGAGAAGACACACCACCAGGGCCCTGTATTGCTGGTGAGTGTCCCCATGCTTCAGCTTCTTTCGAATTGCACGAGATGCTTCAGCAGGCCTAATGGCAGTAATCAGATGAGATCCTTTCAATTACAGCGCAACTCGCTGATTACCCAGTGGCCTGAATATTGATAGAATCGACGAGCTCCGGGATACTGAAGAGACAATCAAAGGGACGTATACAAGCACCATGCAGCGTTACATACCCGTCATAAGCCTCGTCTGCGGTGCCTGGTGCAGTCAGAAGCTCTACCCATTCTGTAATGGAGGACTAGCATAGTACGATTAGCGGCTGATTAGCACTAAGGTGACATCCAAATCGTACACGGGGTTTCTCGCGATTGAAGGCCGAATACGCCTGCTTGGCAAGGGTAATCGCGGACATGGTGAGGGTAGAGGCGAGAGAAGCGGGGAGGAAGAGGCACAAAGGGCCCGATTGAGAACAACTCCACCGGTGCACATGCCACTTCTGCTGTCCATGCCAGGGCCGAGAGCCGCAAGTGCGCTTATGCGCATGACGTACTTTGCAAACTGCGCTCGACACCAGAAATATGAACGTGCACGAAACTGCGAAAGCCAGTACACATCGAAGCCGGGGAACAGACGATGGACGTGATACGTGAATTGCCTACAGAGCTAGAAGAGGAGTAATGGAAAGTCGGCAGTATTGTATCTCGACTATCGTTTCCTCTCCACCCGCCACTTGTATTCTCGGGGCTTCCAAAGCTTCTCATCCACCTTCCTAGGCCGCCGTTCTTCGTCCTCATCATTTTCGTCCTCAACCTTCTCCACACCTTTCAGTTTCCTCGACGCCCCCTTCCCCATCAAAGCTTTCTGCATTTCCAGTTCACGCTCGGTATAGCGCAGAAGCCTGTCACGACTGAGGCGAGCCGCCAATTCTTCCAGTAACCTCGTTCTCTGCTCCTGAGACACTTTGATTAGCTAGGAAAGAGATAGCAATACTGACATGTGCTCACCGTGGCTTCTTCTTGCCTAATCTCCTCGGCAATAGCAGTCGAGCTCTCCGCATCAACCCTGCCTTTCCCCTTTCGCTTTTTTCTCTCCAGTCCCTCAAACGTCTTCCATCCCAAGCCCTTGTAGTCTTCCTCCACGTTCATGCTATCGTCGTTGAACTCCAGCTTTCCCGGTGGCGTATACGTTCGGCCTGGATGCCGGTAAATATTCTAGATTATGTTAAGCAGTGGAAATACAAACCTTCCTCTTCGTCCTCGGCAAAAACTATGTGTTTGCCCGTAGGCCTGCGTCGCTTGCGCTTCGGATCAGCGCCGCCGGCTATTATTCCAACGGACCTGAGGATTTCTAACTCCTCATCGTCAAGATCTTCGTCTTCGCCGTCAAGAATATCTGATTTGACGAGACCAGTGAATGCGGTAAGCTGAGCCTTTATTTTGTCTATTTTCTACGTCGTAGTTTTAAGCATTACACAAAATGCGACATTTGGTCAGTCACGTACTTTTTGATTTGAGAGGCGCATTGTCCGTATATAGTTCTCGTCCTGGGACTTGAGAACCTTTACAACGTCCGTAGGCAGAGCCTCGTTTCCTCTGCCCTGGATATGTACACCTTCCCGCGTCCTCTGCCTGATCATCCCGAAGTAGAACTCATCCTTGTTCCTATCCGCTGCCTTCTGCCTGAGCCTTGTGAGTCTGTCTTGCTTCGAGTGGTAATCTCGCGCTCGCAAGACATAGTCCTTGTGTTTCTCGAGGACGCCGAGTTTTGCGCGGTGAGCGAGCTGACCACGCTCCTTGTGATTTCGGCGGTGGAGCGAATTCCGAAGAGATGACATCCCGGCCAATTTAATACTCTTGAGCTACCTAGGAGATCACCTCGTCTTTGTGCAGAAAAAGAGATACAGACTCAGGGCGCAGGTGGAGGAGGGAGCGAGGGCAAAATGAGGGACATGGAAGCGCCTAAAACCAAACCTTCGATCGACGCCACGACGTCGTCGTGAGATTATTTAGGAGTTTTTTGATTGTATAACACTCGAATTACTCCTCGTGATTTTATCGCCGTGTCCAGTGGGTAAAAGGCGCGAACTGGCGCAGTTAGAATGCTTCACTCATTGATTGGGCTTACAAGTCGCGAGCAGTGAGAAATTTCTCATGGCTTCTGACAAGTCTGTCTGTTAAAGCACAGAGAAATCAATACTATCGTACGCGACGTTGCCACGCGTAGGCTGCAAAAGTCACTTGTCGCACTTGAATCTTCCTCGTCTTCAAAGCCATTCGTTACTGCACGAAAGCGGCAACTGTAAGGTATGGTCGTCCAGAACCGCCAGGGGCTCGGGATTTCGCAGACAGCATAGAGCCTCAAATGCGCGTGCCGGAACGACACAAGCGCTTAGAGAGGACAGGTATGAGTGGTGTCCCGTCCTGTACTAGACATTCATGGATATAGCACAGAAGTAGTGAGCTGGAAAAGCGAAAGGCTAATCGAGGTACATGGTCTATCGAGTCCCGCTCAGCCCAAGGCAGGTCTCGCGCTAAACTCGTAGAACTGGAAGGTGGCTGGAGGACTTACACATGTTGGCAGAGTGTGACTGTGGGGATGTAATAATGGGCAAGGTCACGGCTACCCCCCGTTAACTACCCCTGTGTACAAGTCAGCTCTCTGAGGTAAAAGGAACAAGAAACGGCTCACCGCCACCCATAGGGCTCTCCAGATACAAGCGGATTAAGATGCTCTCCAGCGCCGCAACGGACGGTGCTGGGTATTCAAAATTGCGTGCATTATCCCGTATTCCCTGAAATAGCACGCTCATCCGGTCCCACCGCTCCTGAGCGAGGGGTTGCGGCGGCGGGGGTGGGGGTGGGGCAAGAGGCTGCGGTGGCGGCTGCTGATGGTGGTGCATCATTGGTATGGCCGCTTGGAAGGTCTGCATAGTAGGGCCAGGGTTTGACGGAGGTATACCGGCTTGCTGAGATGGCGGGTTCGAGGGACCCGCGGTAGGCGAACGGCCTGCTTCGTCCGGAGGTGGTGACTTGGATGCCTCGCTCGATTCCCTTGCCGCGCGACTTCTAGCTCGTGATTGCTGCTGGTCGGCTTGGAGCTTACGCCCGCGCTTTGTGAACGGGAGGTTCGCCATGCCTATTTCGTGTGAATGCTCGGACATGTCTGAAGCTGTCGGTGAGGTGAAGACGTATCTCTGGTAGTACAAGTACTCACAACAGACGCGGACTTCATCCGTATCGAAATATGTTTTATAGCTAATGGAGGCGGGACATCCTGTTCCCTCAAGCTTCCTTGCAACACCGAATGAGATCAGTGCAACTGGGCACAAGGCCAGGACGCACCTTACGACTAGGAACCTTGCGCACTCTGTCAGGATATTTCTTCACGTATTTTTTCCGCCCGCTACGCGTATGACGTGCGCACACGAGTTTGGTATGGTCCTTGAAGCGAGGGGGCACCGCTTTCGAACCATGCGTGTCTCCTTTTACGAACTCGATCATCTTCTCCTCCTCTTCCTTCCGTCTCCACTCTTGAAACGCCTCCATAGTCTCGAATACCAACGTGTAACCATCATCAGCGTCGCCTGAACCGTACGGTCCTTTCTTCATGCCGTTCTGTACGCGTTGAATCTGAATGGTTGGGCCGCCATTATTCAGAATCGGCTGCGAGGAGAGAGATGTCTGCGGTTGGACAAGTGCCTGCGAAAGAGACGACTGCGAATGCTGATTTGTGACTGTATGTGCCGTCTGCGGGGTGAGAGGGTGAAGCCTGAAGTGCTGAAAGCTCATGGTAGGAGCCTAGACGCTGGAATACCGCAGCCGCTGTAGCGGCGGGAAGTCACCATCCGGTGTTACCTGGCGTCACTCCAGTCTTGGTCACAAATTCGCTGTCACGTCCAGGCCCAGGCATAGAACGATGGACAAGCAAATGCCACAGGTGTAAGCACCATACAGCGTATGGTCTTCCGACCGACACAATTTTGCATCTCCCAAAATACAAGCGTCCAACTAGTAGTGATGGCGATTAAAGCACTGCTAACATAGCTGTAGTCTATAACTTGAATGTCCGAGTCCTCCAGATAGTCCAAAGCCAGTACGCTAAGAAATGCTCATAGCCCCAATAATCACGGATAAAGCGAAACCTAGTAGCCCTATCAGCTGACCTTGGACAAACCGCAAGCTGACTGCCGCACCAATACTAGTGGAAGTTGTGCTAACAGTGCCTGCACTTCCGGATGCCGAGCTAGTCTGAGACCCTTGGGGGATAGGTGTAGCTATGGGTGTAGTCGGGTTGTATGATACGCCATTCGCAGAGGCGGCTACTTGGAAGACTGATCCGTTACCGTACTCATAAAACTGGGACGATCGGGTCAGCGATACGCTAGTCATCACGAGATGGTAGGACTCACGTCCACAAGCATGAAATTCGGCGAGCGATTGTAGTCGGACACGCATAGTTGAACCTGCTCTCCCAGAGAGTTCGACCCACTGACAGCATTGGTAGCGTTTGCTTCCTCGACAAACGGAGCGGCAAAGCCCAAGATAACTTGATCAAGAAAATGGTTGATCAGGAACATTTGGGTGGTGGGGTCACCACTCGTGCGGTTGACACTGCAATCGAACGTAGTTGTCACATCGAAAGGAGTCTCAAAAACGTTGGAGAATTCTGTGATGGGATAAGTACAAGCAGCTATAGAGACTTCGCCAGCGTACCATCAATGAGGTATGGCACTTCCGCGAAATTCGCGGTAGTAGAGAGGAACGTGACAAGACGTGTTCCCGCATCGATCAAGGTTCCCAATGTAGGCCAACCGGTTGCTGGCATCGATGCAGCCGGCGGGTTGTAGGATAAGGTGTCAACGCCAGCGGACTTGTACACCTGGTCAAAAAGCGACGGGTCGAGATTGTCCGAGTTGACGATGAGCATGGTCACCACTGCGGAGCCGTATGAGGAACGTCCGTGACTATAACGAGAACATGCACCGACCGTCGTTAGGGTTGCCGTCCATCCATGTTTTCACTAGTGCATCGGTGAGTGGGCATGCGTAAGATAGTGGACCGATAGCGGCGGCATTACCTTGACTCAAATAGTTGTCTAACGTGCCGCCGTTGAGCAAATCCTATTATCTTCGGTTATGCGTTAATCTGTATGGCAGCATGACAGGACGTACGCAGCTCGTATGACAAAGTTGAATATCGCTGGAGAGGTTATGAGCTTGGACTTGCAGTAGTCGTATACCATCCGTCAGTTGCTGAGTTACTGCAAAGAGAAGATGAGACCTGACGACCCTGCGGATGGCTCGGATATTGAGGAGCGCACCATTATAATCCTGATTCGCCGCCACTATCCAGGAGTCAAGCCATTAGCGCAGGGCAATCCTCTCCAATATTGTTGCGCTTACAATTGTTGATGCCGACGGCGTAGGAGTCGTGCGCACCGACGAATGTAATGTTACCATAGGATCGGTTACAAAGCTGAAGACCGTGAGTAAGTGTAGCGCAGCTCGGGAGCGGATAGACTCACATCAGGAGAGCCGTTGCATGTGGTAGCACGAGACTGGAGGTTAACAGATAACGCGAGAGATCCCGGGACCAGCAGAGAGAGGACGGCCGGCGTCAGAGTCGAAGAGAGACGCATCCTTGGAGGATATCGATGAGAGAGAGAGAGAGAGGGTAGTGAAGTGCCCCGCAGTCAATGCGGGTTGGGCAACTAGTGTTAATTATTTAAGAAAGGAGGGCAGTGTCGGAGACCGATGAGTAACAAGGGGAGGCTGCCGCGCAGCCGTCTGAGGGGACCAGCCGAGAGGCACGCGCTTACTAGTCGGGCGACCGCCACGTGGTAAAGTATATCCCCCGCCGCAAGCCGCCGCCGCGACACCGTGGACCGCACACATAAATTGTCGCAACTGCTCCTCTAGACGTTGATTCTGTCATCCAGATAGTTTGGGAGGACACGCTCATGGCGGACATCCTTCGACCGGTCTTCGCTGGTTGCAACCTGGTGCTGGAACATGTATGGCACACTAGTACTGGATGTCTTTCGCGAATATTCACCCACGCTCCCAACAGACAAATGTCGTCGTTACAGGCCTTACCGCCGCTGTAATCCTATATACACGCTCCGCTGGCATAGCGTATTTCGCGCTAGGAGCGGTCGTGTGTTCCAGAACAGTAAAAGCGATAAAGAGGTTCATTCGCCAGCCGCGTCCCTTACACTCTTCTTCAGACCACCGGAAGAAATCGTACGGGTGAGTGCTGGCGACCTACTACTTCCCCGGCACCATCGTTGCTAAAGCCGGAGTCTTGTATCAGTATGCCGAGCACACATTCGGCCGTCATAACGTATTACGCAGCCTATACCGTCTTGGCTTCGGCGTATTTGCCAATTCATCCGACAGTCCCCGAGACACCCTGGACGCGAATCGTGATTCCCTTCGTTGTTGTTCCATGGGCGACGACAATAGCACTCTCCCGCATTTGGCTTGGGCACCATACCGTTCCACAGGTGCTCGCAGGTTGCGTCCATGGTGTCCTCTTCACCTATATGTGGTATTCCATTTGGCTTCGAGGAGCCAATGACTATGGTCAATACCTTGAACAGACGTACTTCACTCGACCATAATGATCTGTACCGGTCCCGTTGATAATGCTAAATAAAACGAAAACTTCATAGGCCATGCCCTAGCAACGGCCCAAACATAGACTGGCTCAAGTCATCTTCCTCCTCTCCCGCCCCGAGCAAGTACCGCACTCCATCCATAACTACCTTCCTGACTATTTCTTTGTCTCCCCACGTCGGGGTCCTTGGCGTCCACGCTACAGTGTGCGCTCCGAAATGCGTTAGCGTAAGCCCCGCAACTCGCGCCATAACTTCTTGCCGAGTTCCCTCTCGGTATGCGGTCAAGAAAGTCGTCAAGAGCACTGATGCTGACGCTTCGCAACGCGGATAGAAGCTGCGTGCCAGATGCACCTCTGCGAAGAACTGTCCGATGTCGAACCCGGGCAAGCTGGGCTTCGACAGTTCCCAGTCGAGTATGTAGATGCGCTCGACTCCAATCTCATCTCCTTCGCCCCCCAGTTTCACCATCACGTTCCCAGGCCAGAAGTCCCCGTGCACCACGGTCTCGCGCGCGCTGCGCATTGCGTCAGCGGTAGTGTCGGCTACCTCCGTGAGGACCTTCAGCTGGTCCTCGGGTACCTCGAGCGGTGGGTCACGGAGAGCTGGAAGATCGTGCGGCGCTGAGAGCGTCGAAACAATCCTGCCATACGTGGCCCATGCGGAGAGCGTCCGCGCCTGCAGGTTCCCGTCGAAGAAGTCGAGCACCTGACCGTCCCTGCCCCAAACGTGCACCTGTGCCAGGAACGTGCCGAGCGCAGACCCTATGGTACGCGCCGAGGAGACCGCGAGAGCTCCGTCTTGGAGAAGCAGCGCCTTCAGGGTGAGGGTACCGCCATCCTCCATGATGATCACGTTTGCGTCCTCGTCGAAGACGTAAATTTCGGGTGTCGTAACGAGCGAGGTCGCTGGAAGGACTGCCCTGACGCGTCGCATGGCCTCGACATCGTATCTCTGTCCGAAAGGTTAGATGACGCTGCGACCGAGCTCAATACTACAATTCACCTGTCGATCCAGCGCGAGTGGGAACGTCTTATCCGCCGGCAGCCAAGCTTTCCCATGTTTGAGGACAGCTGTCTCTCGACCGAGGTACGGCTCGGCGAGACGAAGGCGATAGGTGTAGTTGCCGGAGCCGCCTGAGAGCACGGTCACGTTCGTGCTCGCAAAGGGGGTTCGAGCGACGTAGCTGTGGACACCGTTCACGGTTGCGAGATCTTCTGAGTTCAGCATGGGTGTTCAGCTTCTGACCTTGTGCTCAGCAGAGCGCGGTTATATGTGACAGCAAGAGTCAATGCGGCTCTCGGTACCGCGCTGACTAGGTTAGAGGATATTGACATCGACGACGGTTCCGAGGTGTCCATCAGACATGAATGCTTTCCTCTGTGCCTGCCATAGGCGGAATGACCACTCATTCAGACGAGTTCAGGAGATAGAGAGAAATGAGAAAATGTAATTTAAGGCAGAATACAAATTGCAGCGAGCTAGCGGAGGAAAGACAGCGAATGATACATGACACTGATGAACAGGCTTGCAATTGTACACTTCCTTAAAGCTTGTCGTAGTAGGTATCGAGGGGAGGAATATCAGGCTTGAGACCCTTGCGGATACGGATGTTCTTGACGATTTCCTCGAGCTTAGAGCCCTTGTCGAGAGGAGCTGGTAAAAGGGGGTCAGACATATAGATTCAACGACATTGTTGTATAGGGTACTCACATCCGTTCATCAAATCCCAGTGGTCAAACACCGACTGAGGGAACGCCTGGCCAGACGTAGCAGCACGGAGTTCGCCGTTGAAGCCGAACGACTCGCCGACGGGGAGGTAGGCCTTGACAGTGAACATGGGAGTTCCGGGACGCTGCTCTTCGCTGAAGACTTGTCCACGGCGCTTGTTGAGGACGGAGTAGATACCACCGATGGCGTTCTCCGGGCATTGAATCTCAACGAGATAAATGGGCTCTTGGAGACAGGGATCGGCGAGCAAGCAAGCGGCGTAGCAGACACGACGGCAGGTGGGGATGATCTGTCCTCCACCACGGTGGATGGCGTCGGTGTGGAGCTAGAGGACAGCGAGTTAGCACCGAAACAGCTCATTTATAAGAATATGAACATACAGTAACATCGAGGACGTTGAAGCGGATACCACGCATGTTCTCCTCGCACAAAACACCCTCCTTAGTCGCCCACTGCAAGGCAGCCACGCAAGAATCCTTGATCTCGTTCAAGTACTGAACTCCCTTGGTGACATCGACGAGAAGGTTAGGTCCGGTGGTGTCGGGACCGAAGCACCAAATCTTCCTGGCGTCAGTGACGTCCCAGCCAAACTCATCGGCGAGCAAGCGAGCACGGAGCTTGTAATCGTCACGAGAACTGATCTTGCCAGACTCAATGGCGAGGGTAAGCTCCTCCTCGATAGGCAAGGCCTTGAGGTAGAGACGGTTGTGCTTGTTCTGCGATTTCGACAGAGCAACAATGGAGGACTCGGCCCTGACGGTCTCACGGTAAGGGACGACGGGGTCAGAAATCTTGAGGGGGACACCAGCGTGGTCCTCTTGGAGATCCTACGGCGCGAAATTAATGCACTGTAAGCGTGCCGACAAGATAAACCAGACCAACCTTCAAGCAAATCTCCAAGTGGAGCTCACCAGCACCAGCGACGATGTGTTCACCAGACTCGGAAATCCAAGCCTGGACGCAAGGGTCAGACTTGGAAAGACGCTTGAGACCCTCAACGAGCTTGGGGAGATCAGCAGCGTTCTTGACCTCGACGGCGACCTGAACGACGGGGGAGACGGAGAACCTCATAACCTTCATGTTGTGGGCGGTCTCCAAGGAGGTGAGGGTACCACTCTTGAGCAGGAACTGA